TAATTTTTTCAAAGTATAAGATTTATTTTTCTGCGTTTACCCCTATGCCATAATGCCTGCCAAACTTATGTCTAATTGCTATTAAATTCAACAAATAGTTTTTTCTATTTTTACTAGTGCTCCAAGTACTACCTTTAAAAAAAAAGGCCTCATCAAGATAAAATTCACACACCATAGTCTTCATTGAATTAAAACATGCAATTCATTGGTTTTTAGTACATTCAGAGTTGTGCAACCATTCCCACAATCTAATTTTAAAACATTTTGATCATCCCCAAAAGAAAACCTATACCCATTTAGCAGTCACTCCCCAATCGAAACCATCTACTACTAATCACTGTAAGATTTGCTTGTGTGGCCTTTGTTACTGGCTTCTTTCACTTAGCATGTCTTCAAGGTTATCCATTTGAAGCATGCATCAGTACTTCATTCCTTTTAGTATATGTGCTGCTGAAGCAAGCACACTTCCTTCCTTTTTATTGTTAAGTAATATTCCATTGTATGGATATACCACCTTTTATTTATGCACGGACCAGTGACAGACATTTGGATCGTTGCCATTATAAAAAATGGTGCTATGAACATTCACATTTTTGCGTGGAAATATGTTTTCAATTCCTTAGGTGTATTTATTACCATATGCTGGGTCATATAGTTATTCTTTGTTTAGTCTTTTGAGAAACTACAAATTATTTTCCAAAGCAGCTGAATAATTTTACATTCTCACCAGTTATATGAGGATTCTAATTTCTCCACACCCTCACCAATACGTGATTATCTGCCTTTTTTATTATAGTCATCTCAGTGGGTATGAACTTCATTATGGTTTTGATTTTCATTTCCCTAATGGCTAATGATGTTGAGCATCTTCTGATGTGCTTACTTGTCATTTGTATGTCTTTTGGAGAAATATCTATTCAGACTTTCTGCCCATATGTATATTTTTCTTTATTGATATTAGAGAGAGAGAGAAAGGGAGAAGAAGAGAGAGATAGAAACATCGATGAGAGAGAACATCAACTGGGCACCTCCTGCATGCCCCCCACTGGGGATTGGGCCCACAACCTGGGCATGTGCCCTGACCAGGAATCAAACTAGCGACCTCTTGGTGCATGGGTTGACGCTCAACCACTGAGCCACACTGCCCATATTTTTTAATGTAGTAAAGCTTTATTGCTGATTTGTATCACAGTCCTACAGGGTACCCAGTTAGCCTTATTTGAGATGATTCAGGGGTCCAGACACTGCCATCCTCTGAGACCTCAGAATCTCCCAGTGGATTTCCTGCATCTAGTTAGCATATGATGAGGGGAAGAGAGGTGTGGACGATGGTACAGTGGTGACATCACTTCCACCTACGTTCTGCCAGCAAGAGCTAGTCAGATGCTCCCCCAACCCCTCATCAAGATGATAGGGTGTTGGCAAATGTTGCTTAGCTGTGTAATCAGGAAAGGAAATGGGTTTTTCTGATTCTGGTTCTTGCTCTTTCTGGCTTTTGCCTTTGCATTTCATTGCTTGGAATGAATGGGAAAGTCTCTCCTAAGAAAAGATTAAAAAATCCTTTGATGATCAAAGGGCAATGTAATTTGGTTCTGTATGGTTCCACCTAGAATAAAAGTTAGATTCTTCTCATTTAAAATAGTTGCTAAGGTGATGGTTACAAATTAGAAAAACAAAGCTTATATGACATTGTGACAATAGTTATAATGCAAAACGATGCCTATCGTTTAAAAAGCAACTATAACTCATTTATTATTTTTGTTTCAGTTTCTATATTGAGGTTCTGTTGTATATGAACAAAGTTCTTTATTTAAAACAATTTTTTGAAAGATTCTTCTTTAACAATCCTCTGTCCTTTTAGTCAGTGAATTAAATTGTATTAAGACCTGATATTAAGACACTAAAGCTTAGCTAAGTCAACTGAACTTCACTTGCCTCCCTAAACACCTTCATTGCCCCTTTAGCGGCTGAAGTACCAGCTATCACTCTGCAGTGGCATTCTTTCTCCCCACAGAGGACCTGAGTGCAATTTTTGTTTATTTCCCCTTAAGCAGCCAGGGCATTTCCTCATTATCTAGGACTTGGTAGAAGGCTTCAGGTCTCCCCTGAGACAGTCAGGCAAATATGGTTGTACTAGAGTAATAATACTAATGTTTTTGTAACTTGCTATTTGCTTTCTATGTTGTTACTCAATTGGCTTGTGAATTATACAGTATAATGAGAATAAACATTTTCTTAATAAACTCAGAAACCTCTAGGTAGACTGAAAGTACTCCATGTACTACAGTGAGAAGAAAAACACATCCTTATTTTAAGCACTTATTCAAAATCTGTGCTAATATAGTTTATCCAATCCTGGTGTAGAAAGTATACATCAGGGAATTCACTGCTGCCTTAAGACCCTTTCGTTTCTTTTTTCATGTTTTACAAACACGTGGTATGAAGCATTAATCCAGGACACAGAATTTTATGCGGTTGTTGGTTGACAAAGACACTTAAGTAAAATATCTGGGAAAGAAGAGGGAGGAACATATTTTATTTCCCAGTTAGTGACCAATTTCAAAGAAAATGACAATGAGAACATAGTTTCAAATGTGCAAATCACTTACATGTAGTGTCTGAGCAATGGAATGGTGAATCGAAAAAACACACTGAGTTATCACAAAAGAAGAACATACTGCAGTGTGTACTTTCAAGGTTGCTGCTTTTTAAATCACCTTCAGATCAGTGGCAGGAGGAGCGATTCAGCTTTCACCACTACTACTGAATCAGTGTTACCCACCCTCTTCAATGAACTCTGAGGAAGGGCAGCAAAATTCAAGTTCATAAACCCATTTGGGAAATGTTGTGATTTATAAAGTCTCATACACACAAATGTTAAAATAAGGATTGTCAATGACAGATTCCAAATGGAATTTCCCCAGTATTTCTAGGAAGCAGATGCTTTAAGAAATTCATTTTTACTTTTAATGAAAATTTCATGCAAGAATAGTCAGTGACTCTAACAACTGAAGTTCAATAGGAGAATTCATATGTCTATTAAAGAGTTCAACATCCTCTCATGGTACTATTATCTCCATAATTGGCAAATACTATTAAATATGACTCATTTTCTCAAACAAATACTAATGTTCCGGATTCTTATTAGAGGGGAATACTGCTAGGACAATCTCAAGACTATATACATTCAACATATTTTTGTGGAATAACAACACAGAAATACTACATAAAGCAAATGACAGTTGTACAAAAATAACAAAACATTTACAGATGAACCAAATTCAAATTCTTAATAAACACAATCCCAATTGCCACTGTGACCTTAACTGAGGTTCCCAAGGAGCCATAAAGAAGGAATAGTTTTCTTATAACAAGTCATGGCAAGGACAGAAGTAAATGAGCTATTACACTAATTTTTTAAAAGTTGAAAATATTCAACTAGCAAGAAAATCTTAAAAGATAACTGTGTGTGTGTATGTGAGAGAGAGAGAGAGAGAGAGAGAGAGAGAGAGAGAGAGAAGTACTTTGGAATGATAAACTTAATACTTTAATGGGAGGATAGATCATATCACATACACACACAAAATAAATAAATAAATAAAAGAGAAGAAAAATAGCACCAGTCAGGCTGTGGCTGCACACAGCTATCTCTGTTTATCAGCGACTGCTATCCGGACTGGGTGCTGTTCCCACAGTCTCATATCAGCACAACCATTTAGAAATGAAACAAACCACAGGAAACAAGCAAAACAACTCTCCGGCTGTCTGGTATGCACTGCCACTTCAAAATCAGAATCTAAAAATTCTCTCATAAAGTTTCTAAACATCAACCCACTAAGTTGTTGTCTGGGGATTTAGAGAGCTTATTAGAGCTTGATGAACTACTTTTGTGGTTTATGACAAGATAAATTTTAGCATCCTCACTACACCATGTTCCAAAATGTCACAGATAGTGGCACTGCCCTACAGGAACTCATAATGCCGTCTCCTTCCTATTATTATATAATGCTATTCCATCATCATCCTGACGTCAGGTGGTATTACGCTCTTCATCTTTAAAGTGGATGGAACAAAGGCAACATGTCACTTCTGTTCTCTGCTGATCATGGCTGTCAAAACTAGGAGTAGCACACTCACCTGCAGAGCCAATTACAGTCTCTTTCCCAGGAATGAGAATTAGGGCTTGAATACTCTGACCAGTGAGCTAATGGCATGACACTCACAAGGACGTGTCAGGGGTGGGGAGGTAGGAAGAGGAAGGGCTGGGGTTGCTATTTCAGTCAGCAAATGGAGAAACCTGGCCTATAGGAAGCAGAATAGCACTGAAGAAAAAAGCAGTAGAGAACAGAAATTAAATAGCCTCAAAAAGACAGAACATTCTTGAATCCAATGGCTTTTCAATATCAAGTTCTCTTTCTCTATGAAATCCATGTTTAGGTCCTCCCCATAAGTGAGAAACATTTGCATAAAATTCCTTTAAAAGCTCTCCTTTCATTTTTCTGTAATTAGTTTGAGAGGGTTTCTTGACTAAGGTACTAAGAGTCCTAATTATTAAATATCACTAGTTTAGGGTTAACTTTTTTCAACCATTTGTTAGTAATCAATAATCTTAAGTCCCTTGACTTAAGATGTCACTCCTTGTCCGGCTGCTGTGGCTCAGTGGTTGAGCGTCAACCCATGCACCAGGAGGTTGCTGGTTCGATTCCCGGTCAGGACATATGCCCAGGTTGTGGGCCAAATGCCCAGTGGGGAGCATGCAGGAGGCAGCCAATCAATGTTCTCTCTCATCGATGTTTCTATCTCTCTCTCCTTCTCACTTCCTCCCTCCCTCAAATCAATAAAGGAAAAAAAAAAAAAAGATGTCACTCCTTTATTTGTGTATTAGAGATTTCTAGGGCACCAGGATCACAGGTATATCTTGAAAAGAGAGGGGTTTTATTATTTATAAACTTAGCAATGAAAGGAAAAATTTGTATTGACAAAGTAAGGTATCTACTTACATAATCTGGTAGAGGAACATCATTGGAACTTAGTGAACCTCTCAAGGACTGTGTAGCTTGTTCCAGAACTTTGTTGTGTTTTTTAGACAGCAAGGAAAACAAACTGAAAAACAAAAACAAATAAAACTCCAATTATATTAAAAGGACTAAATGTCTCTTTTTCTAGATCTTATATTAAAGTATATAGTTCCATAGAATGTCAATCATTCTAAAATATACTTGTAATGATACTTTTTTCATGCCTGTGATAACAGAAGAGTTAACAATACTATTGATGTAACAAAAAATGAAGTGAAGAGAATGTTTAAATTATAAGGGTTCTAAAGTATAAAAAATTCACAAGTTAAAATTATATTTCAAACAGGAGAAATTTTCAGATTATTATAGTGGAAAAAATAGTAGACAGACATTTAGAAAACTTGGGTTATGAAATGACTTTATATTCACAGTGTAATTTATCATAAGTCACATGAGCTTGTTTTATCTCAAGTTTCTCATCTTTCAATTGAGTGTTTTGGGTCAGATTATTTCTCTAGTATAATATAGAGTCTATGATTTAATATTATAGCTTTATATTCTTATTTCTCAAAAAGTATGACTTTAAATATACATATTATAAGATTTCTGTCTCTGACCATGATGAACTATCTGGTACTGAATAACTCTCTTGCTGTAAACAACTAAGAAACTGGAAAAACTATATGAAACAACTGTTTTCAGATGTTAATCTGAAGTACAGAATTCTGATCCCTAAAAGAAGAGAGATCTACAAATGGCAAGTTTCAGCCTAGAGGAACATTCCAAACTGTAGTTCAGAATGGTGGGACCCAAACAATACACACTCAATATTGTGCTGGGCTGAAAAGACAGAAATATAAACTTGGGGCCGCTGTGGCAGCTGGAATTTGCAGGGCAGATTATTAGATGGGAGGGAAATGCAAGAGGGAGGTCCAGAAATCTGCCAAAGGGTCTTCCTGAGTGTTTGGCTAAACACTAAGCTGTATAGTACAGAGCAAGACTCCACAAGATGTGGTTGTTAAACAACTACCCAGAAGCTGAAAACTAAACAGACTTTTGGAGATCACAAAAGATTGAGTGGTACTGGAGTTCCAACCAGCCAGAGTGGGTAAAACTCCCTGAACATGGGCATTCAGTTGCATTCTCAGAAAGTCTATGTTTGAAAAGTAAAGCTAATCAAATTCAAAGTAAAAATTACTCCATTCTAAAATGTACCCTAACAGACCTAAAATGATCAATTTCCAAAGAATAAACTAATTTACATTAAAAGTAAATGGGCTAAACACGCCAATTAAATGGCAGAGATGGTCAGAGTGGATAAAAAGCAAGAACTAATCACATGCTGTTTACAAGAGTCACAGCTGTAAATTTAAAGACACAGATAAATTAACATTGAAATGAGGTAAAAAAGATATAAACACTAAGCATAAGAAAGCTGGAATAGTTCTATTAATATGAGACATAGTAGACTTCGGGACAAGTCTAAAATATACTTGTAATGATACTTTTTTCATGCCTGTGATAACAGCAGAATCAACAATACTATTGATGTAACAAAAAATGAAGTGAAGAGAATGTTTAAATTATAAGGGTTCTAAAGTATAAAAAATTCACAAGTTAAAATTTCAAACAGGAGAAATTTTCAGATTATTATAGTGGAAAAAATAGTAGACAGACATTATTAGAGATAGAAAGATTTTTATAATGATGAAAGGGCTAATTCATCAAGAAGAAAAACAATACCAAAGGCTTCAAATATACATAATTATATAATTATGATATTACATCTACTATAGCTAATAATTAAAGAATTCCTCTTTGGCCTGGCCAGTGTGGCTCAGTGGTTGAGCACTGACCCATGCATCAAGAGGTCACTGGTTCGATTCCGGTCAGGGCACATGCCCAGGTTGTGGGCCCAGTCCCCAGTAGGGGGCATGCAGGAGGTGGCCAATTGATGTTCTCATCTATGTTTCTATCTCTCTCTCCTTTTCCCACCCTCTCTCTCTAAAATCGATTTAAAAAAAATTAAAAAAAATACAAATGAAAAATTCCTCTTTGGGCTAGATGGCAACTTAAAAAAAAAGACAATTCTGATTCCATGTACTTTTCCATATAGATCTGAGGTATAATTGTAGTATTTTTTAAAAAAAGGTCAAAACAGTACTCCAGTATTTCTTAGTGATACTATGCTAAATAAAATATTACTTTAAATATATTTTTAGAAAAATCCCGAGACTTCTGGTCAAGATGGCAGCATAGGTATGAGGTATCGTATCCTCCCACAACCACATCAAAGTTACAACTAAACTACAGAACAACCATCATTCAAAACTGCCTGAAATCAAGCTGATGGAAGTCCTACAACTACGGGATTAAAGCAGCAGCCACAGGAGACTGGTGGGAGGGGCGGAGGGGACGGGCTGGTCCCACACCCACGTGTGGCGGATAAAAATCAGGAGGACACCTCGGCTGAGAAGGTCCTCCCTGAGGACTGAAGGGTCCCCATCCCACACCAGGTGCCCCACTCAGGGTTCCAGTGCCAGGAAGAGAATCCCCATAACTTCTGGCTGGAAAAACCAGTGGGAACTGAGGCTCAGGGAGGCTGATGCGGCCGGAGCCCCAGGCAGCTCCTTAAGGGGCCCACGCACGGACTTATCGGACTCTCTCCCTCTAAGCTCAGAGGGGAGGCAGCTCGAGGGGCACCAGAGACATACAGGGAAGAACTGAGCTGTTTGGCACTGGAGCGAGGGCTGGAGAGGGGGCTTTCTCCAGGAGAGACGTGCTGTCAGAGGCCTTTGTTCCTTTGGTGAGCCCTTCCCTGGGGCGGCAGACAGCCACCAAATCTGGGACTCCAGCAACCTGGCTCACACTGGTAGCCCCGCCCTGGTGACTCCCTGAGGCCCCGCCCCACCCAACTTTCAGGCCCACCCAAGCTGTTGCCACTTGCTTAACCATAGGATTGGCCTGTCTTGGATCCTGCTTCAGGTTTTCCTAAATTCTTTCAAACAAGCAGCATCTGGTCTCAGCTAGCCCTATACCTCTCGTTAAGTAATACACAGAAACAAACATGGGGGAGGGGGGCAGCCAAAATGAGGAGACAAACAAACAGGTCCCAAATGAAAGAACAGAACAAAACTGCAGGAAAAGAACTAAGCGAAATGGAGATTAGCAACCTAACAGATGCTGAGTTCAAAATACTGCTTATAAGGATGCTCAATGAACTTAGTGAGAACCTCAGTGAACTTAGTGAGGGCCTCAAGAGCATAAAAAAGGACCAGTCAGAAATGATGGATGCACAGTCAGAAATAAAGGAGGCATTAACTAAAATAAAGAATAATTTACACAGATTCAATAGTAGAGAAGGTAAAGCCAAGAAGCAAACCATCAATTTGGAATATAAGGAAGCAAAAAACACCCAATCAGAACAGCAAAAAGAAAAAAGAATAAAAAAAAATGAGGATAGTGTAAGGAGCCTCTGGGACAACTTCAAGCATGCCAACATTCACATCTTGGGGTGCCAGAAGGAGAAGAGAGAGAACAAGAAATTGAAAACCTGTTTGAAACAATAATGGCAGAAAACTTTCCTAATTTGGTGAAGGAAACAGACATACAAGTCCAGGAAGCATACAGAGTCCCAAACAAGATGAACCCCAAGAGGCCCACACCAAGACACATCATCATCAAAATGCAAAAGGTTCAAGACAAAGAGAATCTTTTTTTTTTTAATTTTTTTTCTTTATTGATTTTAGAGAAAGAGGAAAGGAGAGAGAGAGAGAGAGAGAGAGAGAGAGAGAGAGAGAGAGAGAAACATCGATGGGAGAGAACATCGACTGGCCATCTCCTGCATGTCCCCCACTGGGAATTTGGCCCACAACCTGGGCATGTGCCCTGACCGGGAATCAAACTGGCAACCTCTTGGTGCATGGGTTGACACTCAACCATTGAGCCACACTGGCCGGGCAAAGAGAGAATCTTAAAAGCAGCAAGAGCTAGCTACCTACAAGGGAGTTCCCATAAGGCTGTCAGCTGATTTCTCAAAAGAAACTTTGCAGGCCAGAAGGGAGTGGCAAGAAATATTCAGAGTGATGAAAACCAAGAACCTACAACCAAGATTACTCTATCCTGCAAAGCTGTCATTTAGAATCGATGGCCATATAAAAACTTTCCTAGACAAGAAAAAGTTAAAGGAGTTCATCACCACTAAACCATTATTATATGAAATGATGAAGGGTCTTTTTGAAGAAAAAGATAAAATATATGAACAAACAAAATGGCAATGAATACATATCTATCAACAATGGAATCTACAAACAAAATGAACAGGCAGAACAGAAACATTCTCATAGATACAGAGAACATTTTGTTGGTTGCCAGATGGGAGGGGTTTGGGGGAATGGGTGAAAAAGGTGAAGGGATTAAGAAGTACAAATTCATTGCTAGACTGACAAACCTCAAAGGGAAAGGGGTTGGGGGGTGGGAAGAAATAAACCAAAGAACTTCTATGCAAAACTAATGGACACAGACAATAGTGTGGGAAAAGGCGGGAGGGGGGTGGGAGTGGGGAGGAGGGGGTCAATGGGGGAAAAATGAGGAACATCTGTAATATATTCTACATTCAACAATAAAGATTTAAAAAAAAAAAAAAAATCCCTAATTGTTGCAAATGGTTTTAGTGGGATTATTCACTGAAGACAAGGCTACTAAATATTCATTCTAGATTAAGTTTTAACATTATCAAAAATAAAAATCATTGTCTGTTTAGTAGTACTGGTTTTTCCCCTCCCCCAAAGCAGCACAATTGGTCTTGTGTAGCCTTTCATGTACACTGAGTTACAAAAAGGGATCAGATATAAATCAAGATCAGAAATATGAGATTGTGGAGAGGTTTATGATTTTAAAATAAAAGATTTCTTTAGCTTACAATGAGCTATGTCCTTAAAGACACTTAACTATATAATTTAAGGCAATTCAATATGTGGCTTTATCCTTCATATACTGCTTAGATTATTCCTTTATTGGGATGCTGTTTTACTGATAAATTTTAGTTTGAAATTAATCTGGAGATTGGATAAATCAAATTTAAAG